GAAAGGCCCCATAGCCCATTTCCCCTCCCCCGTTTGAGCCAGCCAGGCCTGGGAGAGGAGCCAGCGCCCCCTAAAAGGGGAAGGTCCCATGTCTCCTCCACCCCTCTGAGCCAGCCCCCCTCCCCAAACCCTGAGCCAGCCCAAAGCTGGCGCCCCCTAGAGGGGAAAGGCCCCATGTCTCCTCTGCCCCTCTGAGCCAGTCAGTCCCCCAAACCCCGGGCCAGACCAGAGCCGCTTCCCAGCCAGCCAGCCCCCTATAGCTTGAGACCCCACAAAGTCAGTCCCTATCCCGTCCCACTGAGCAGCCTCATGCCACCCACTTGCGCGTCTCCCCAGAGTTTTGCCGTCCGCTCCGTCCGCTGCGGCTCTGTCACAGCCCGTGCTGGCTGCGTGCACGCCTGCCCCCCGGATTTTGTGTTGCTAACCTTGTATTTAGCGCAGTGCAGGCCTTTACGGCCAGGGATTTTTTTTTTTTCTTCGGAGCGTGAGGAGGAGGGGGAAAAATAAACTCCTCCGGGAAAGTTGGACCAGCCCGTCCTTCGTGCTTTGGTTTTCTTTTCAAGCCAGTGGTATGGCCACGAAACCCTGCGAGAGAAATTACTGCACCTGGCACGAGCCAGTAGGGTCTCCCAAGACTAGCAAGGGTTTCTACCCACCAAAGGCTGCAGCTCCGCCTCTCTCTGTGGTCAAACAGCTCCAAGAAAGCTCCAGGGACCTACAGAGGCCACAGGGAGAGGGACACCAGAGAAGGGGCAAGGTGGGGGGATCCTGCCAAGGGGCTGACACTGAGGTTTGGAGGATATGGGGGAGGGGGTGCCACCGTTTTACCATGCACCTTGGAAATAAATGAGCAGCGTAATTACAGCCATGGAAAAAAAAATTACCAGGATCACCCCGAAACGTGGAAGAAGAATACTGGGATTGGAAGGGGCGTCGAGAGGACATCGAATCTAGTCCCCGGCCGTTGTGGCAGGACCCAGCACCGTCTAGATCAGTGTTTCTCAAGCTTGTTTTATAAAGTGCCCCCTTTAAAAAAAATTAAACGTACCCCCAGTACCTACGGTTTTCAGACACACACCATTTTTTTCTACCATTTCAACACATTTGTTTAAACAACTTAATCGTAGCCGGGCGGGTGATGAAATGTTGGGGTGTAAAAAGTACAGAAATAATCAAGCGCTGGAAAACTTACAACCAAAATTCAGTTTGCTCCAAATGTCGGTTGTGTCAATGGAGCCTTCTCTTGAGTATTCCTGAGGGTACGCAAACCGCTGGTTGAGAAACACAGGTCCTGAGGGTACGCAAACCGCTGGTTGAGAAATACTGATCTACAGTCTAGACCATCCCTGAGAGATGTCTGTCTAACCTGCTCTTAAATATCTCCAGGAATGGAGATTCCACAACCTCCCTAGGCAGCACGAATCCATATGTATTGAGATGAATACATTGTAAAATCTCAGTTAATGTCAGTTGGTCTAAATCAGTTATAAATATATTTGACACAACTTGTATACTTGGTGTTACTCCCTCCTCATTGTGACACCCTTTTAGGTACTTGAGAGCAAAATGTGGCCAGTCAGTTGAGGCCCTAGAAGGCGTGTTGCGATTTTGTTTCACATGTACCCGGGTGGAGCCATTACTGGTGCTTGGATCTCACATGGTCTGTCTGTCTTCTCCATCCCTGTCCCCTCTATGCTGGAGACAGAGTTGAATCCGACAAGCTAATGTGCCCAGAGAGATAACGGGCTTGGGATTGCCACAGAACAGCACACAGCAGGGGAATGTGGCAAAAGGGAATGGCAGAAGTGACCGGCAGGGGGAACATGCAAGCTCAGTTGCGACCCCCTCCCCCGTCCCCGGCTCCCAAGGAGCCAGCTGGAGGAGGGACTGTGTGGATGCTTCTGGGGCGCAGCAGCTGAGAGCCGAGCCCCACAGCAGCGCTGCACAGCAGGGCTGCCAACCCACAGAAATTTCATTTACGGACAAAATAGGAAACATTTACAGATAGACAAATGTTTTTACGGACATCATTTTTATAGGCTGTGTCTACACTGGGCCACTTATTCCGGAAAATCAGCCACTTTTCCGGAATCAGCTGCGAGCTGTCTACACTGGCCCTTGAATTTCCGGAAAAGCAACGATGCTCTACTGTACAAAATCAGCTGCTATTCCGGAAAAACCGGGCACAAGTCCTTATTCCGGAACACTGTTCCGGAAAAGGGCCAGTGTAGACAGCCCAGTAGTCTTTTCTGGAAAAAAGCCCCGATCGTGAAAATGGTGATCGGGGCTCGTTTCCAGAAAAGCGCGTCTACATTGGACACAGACGCTTTTCCGGAAAAAGGGCTTTTCCAGAAAAGCAGCCTGCCAATGTAGATGCTCCTTTTCCGGAAAAACTGAAAACGGAATAGTATTCCGTTTTAAGCAGTTCCGGAAATTCATGCCAGTGTAGACACAGCCTATACTGTATGAAGACGACATAAATGGCCAAAAGTGAAAAGTAATGGTTGTCATTCATACATCCCAAGAACAACATGCTATTTAACTCACTTTCATTGAGTCAGTCATGGTCCTGGAAGTTTTCCATTTTGTGATCGTACATCCGAACACTGACAACGAAAAAACAACTAAAACGTCCAATTTTCGCTGCTCTGCGGTAACCTGGCTGAAGCAGCACAGAAGAAATGTCATTGCTATAGAATAATTGCTGGTTTTTGACATTTTATTGCACTTTTATGAAATGTATGGACACCTACATTTTTTTATGGACTTTATGGACATGTCCAATTTCGGCTGATTTTTTACGGACTGTCCATAAATTTACTGACGGACCCTGCTGTACAGGAAACATCGGGGAGGGATTTTGACTGTTCTTCTCCCCCTGTACCACTTCCCTGTTCGGCTGCTTTCCCTGGCTGCTGGGTGGGACGCGGGACGGAGCTGCTTCTTCTGGAGAGAGCCTGGCCGGCAAGGGGTGGCAAGACCCTGGCCCCGCCCCTCCCCCCAGCCTGGCTCCGCCCCCAGCCTGGCTCCGCCCCCAGCAACACTCCGCCTACACATCCTAGAGATGGAACTGTGGGGCCCGGGGTGGCCTGGGGGATTTCCTGGGGGGCCTGGTGCAGGACAGCAGCAGGAGTCCCCCCCCCCCCCACTCACACACTCACCATGGCAGAGGGCCCTAGCTCACCCCTCCCAAGGGATGCAGGAGGAGTGGGGCTGGAACCGGGGCGCTCCGCTTCCCAACGCTGCAGTGAAAGCAGATGGGGGGGGGGCTCCC